GGAAAAAATACAATAAAATATTTTTGCCTGCAAATGAGTTAAAATGAAAAGCTGCAGATCGAGCTGAGAACCTCAACCATCACTTAATAATAATTTATGTTCACACAGCGTTCCCCCTACCAACAACTCGGGGGGGCAAGAGGAGGAGAAAGTACACTACTGTGTTTTTGTTTGTGAAATGAAGATAACGTTACTCCTGTTGAAGCCAACTTCATGTGTGTAAATGCAAAAAGCATCCCAACAAGTCTTGATCGTCTAAAACGACAGGGGAGATTTGCTTTAGAGCAGGGGGGAGGAAAAAACAAACAAGCGAGAAGTCTCCCCTCCAAAGCGGTAACCTAGGGGAAACACTCATAACACTTTTGTTGACAGGTAAAAACCGAACTTTGTGTCACAAAACACAAAAACATGAAAGAAACTAGAATTCAAATAAAGCCTAGGTATAAACACTGAATGGGTAAATAAATAGTCTGAATTGCACAAAGTGGAAACGTTGAAGGTCAAAGCACTCTGATATGTCGAGGCTGAGGCTCGGTCTCTCGGTGGGTCGGGCCAGTCGGACGAGCGTTCAGCCAGTCAGTGAGAGTGAAGTGTTGACGCCGTTTCTCAGTCCACTGTCATGATTTGATCTTCCACAGCTGTGAACGGGAACAAACGAACACACGTCAGACACTCGAATCGGAGAATTCAGCCAATGAGCAGCTACAGTTTAACAACAAAACGCAGGAAAGGTATCAAAGGTAAGATCAACAGTGCTGCAGGAGGAGCCAGATTAGGTGTCAGCTTGTTAGACATTTGGTCTACTTCGTTTATATCTCTGCTAAATACTGGAAACTGTACCCAATAGTATGAAGCCAGCTAAAGCTATTTTATTTAAATCTGCCTCGATCACCACGGTGACTTACAGTAGTGTGCAAAAGTCTTCATTTTTTATAGTTTGCTGGGGAAATGGGTGGAACAGTTTATTGAAATGTGCAAACATACATGGAAATACGGAAAACAGGCAAAGGCAAAAACAGAGTTTCTACAATTCTAATGAGCTTGAAAGTCTACATTTGTGTGACATTTATTCCTCAACACAACCTGAACTCTCTAAGGCAGCTTTCTTCTAATTTCTTTAAGCGGTGTCCAGGAATAGTTCTCCATGTTTCTCGAAGGACATTCGAAGCTCTTCTTTGGATGTTGACAGCATTTTGTTTTGTTCTCTGTCAAGTTGGGCTCATATCAAACTGTTATCTTTATCATTTTTGTAGATTCAGCTAAAGTGTTTTTCCAACATGGCGAAACACTTTTGCACAGTACTGTACGCCCTGCTAATACTGAGCTGGACCTTTTCTGTTGAAGGAAAACATTTTGCAAAAGAAACCTGGATCAGCTGTGTCTCACGAGTATCACAGGAGGCTGTGAAGTTACAGCAGTGAAAAATGCAAAAATGCATGATCACAGGAACTTTTCGTGCATTCAGCTGGCCATGCACATGTTTTCATGCCTAATCGTAATCTGCAACCACAGCTAATATATAACACAGAATAGAAAAGAGTAATTTTGCTTTAATTTGGGTAGAAACTAACATGATTTCAACATCTCTGTCATTAGGTTTAGAGACACGGTCAGTCCTGAATGCACCAGTGTTTAAATCCATCAGCTCTAATATGCTAGAATATGTGACAGACAAATGGCAGCACTAAGAGCCACTGAAAAAACAAATATTAAGTTATGAATTCACATTTTCTACAACACAGATCTCTTATTTGCAGCATCATTGGCTTTTACAATTAGAATTTTTATAGCCTGTCTTTTGTGAATATCTGTCACCTGTTTCCGTGATAATATCTCTAAAGTAGGCAGCAATTAATCCATTTTTGTGAGGAAGACGAGTGAAATCACAC